GGCAGCGCTGTCCCCCGCAGGCGAGAAGCCCCACCAGTGCTCCGTGTGCTGGCGCTCCTTCTCGCTGCGCGACTACCTGCTCAAGCACATGGTGACGCACACGGGCGTGCGGGCGTTCCAGTGCGGCGTGTGCGGCAAGCGCTTCACGCAGAGGGACACTGTTGGTGCCACCCACATGTGACAAACCTACCTGGACGTGGAAGGAAATGGTTGGTTTTGTCAGGAATTGCTCTTTTCTCCTCAAAATGTGTCCTTAAAATAGTCCCCACAACACCAGGAAGGACCAGGGACGGTGTTGGTGCCACCCGCGTATGACAAACCAAGGTGGACATGGAAGGAAACGGTTGGTTTTGCCGGGACCTGCTCTTTTCTCCAAAAAAGCATCCCCAAAAATGTCCCCACAGCACCAGGAAGGACCAGGGACAGTGTTGGTGTCACCCACATGTGACAAACCTACCTGGACATGGAAGGAAACGGTTGGTTTTGTCGGGACTTGCTCTTTTCTCCTCAAAATGTGTCCTTAAAATAGTCCCCACGGCACCAGGAAGGACCAGGGACGGTGTTGGTGTCACCCATGGACACGGAAGGAAACGGTTGGTTTTGCCGGGACCTGCTCTTTTCTCCAAAAAAGCATCCCCAAAAATGTCCCCACAGCACCAGGAAGGACCAGGGACACTGTTGGTGCCACCCACGTGTGACAAACCAAGGCGGACACAGAAGGAAACGGTTGGTTTTGTCGGGACTCGCTCTTTTCTCCTCAAAATGTGTCCTTAAAATAGTCCCCACAACACCAGGAAGGACCAGGGACGGTGTTGGTGCCACCCGCGTATGACAAACCAAGGTGGACATGGAAGGAAACGGTTGGTTTTGCCGGGAATTGCTCTTTTCTCCTAAAAAACATGTCCCTAAAAATGTCCCCACGGCACCCGGAAGGACCAGAGACAGTGTTGGTGCCACCTGCGTGTGACAAACCTACCTGGATGTGGAAGGAAATGGTTGGTTTTGTTGGGACTTGCTCTTTTCTCCTAAAAATGTGTCCCTAAAAACGTCCCCACAACACCAGGAAGGACCAGGGACAGTGTTGGTGCCACCCGCATGTGACAAACCAACCTGGACATGGAAGGAAACGGTTGGTTTTGTCGGGACTTGCTCTTTTCTCCTCAAAATGTGTCCTTAAAATAGTCCCCACGGCACCAGGAAGGACCAGGGACGGTGTTGGTGTCACCCATGGACACGGAAGGAAACGGTTGGTTTTGCCGGGACCTGCTCTTTTCTCCAAAAAAGCATCCCCAAAAATGTCCCCACAGCACCAGGAAGGACCAGGGACAGTGTTGGTGTCACCCACATGTGACAAACCTACCTGGACATGGAAGGAAACGGTTGGTTTTGTCGTGACTTGCTCTTTTCTCCTCAAAATGTGTCCTTAAAATAGTCCCCATGGCACCAGGAAGGACCAGGGACGGTGTTGGTGTCACCCATGGGCACGGAAGGAAACGGTTGGTTTTGCCGGGAATTGCTCTTTTCTCCTAAAAAACATGTCCCTAAAAATGTCCCCACGGCACCCGGAAGGACCAGAGACAGTGTTGGTGCCACCTGCGTGTGACAAACCTACCTGGATGTGGAAGGAAATGGTTGGTTTTGTTGGGACTTGCTCTTTTCTCCTAAAAATGTGTCCCTAAAAACGTCCCCACAACACCAGGAAGGACCAGGGACAGTGTTGGTGCCACCCGCATGTGACAAACCAACCTGGACATGGAAGGAAACGGTTGGTTTTGTCGGGACTTGCTCTTTTCTCCTAAAAACATGTCCCTGAAATAGTCCCCATGGCCATCACGGAAAGGACCTTGGTGGCCACCAGAGCCAATGATGGGGACAAGGGTCACGGTGGCCTCGGTGACATCGTGGAGCAGCCCCCGGTGTCGTGTCCGTCCATGGAATCAGCACCAGGGAGCTGCTCTCGGGGTGTCACAACCACCAGCTGCCACCATTGGTGGCACCTGCCAGGGGTGGCAGCCGAGGGGACTTGGTGGCCTTGGTGGCTCCGTCTTGGCACCCTCAATGTCACTTGGAGGAACCGGGCTTCAACGTGGGGACCGTGGACACGTGGCCACCGCTGCGGTGGCCTCGGAGCCTCCCGGACCTTCTCATCGGTGTCTTCCCATGATCCAAGTCACATCCCGGTGGCCCTTGGCCACTCCACGGAGCGGTCCCCAATGTCACCTCCCGGTCCCCAATGTCACCTGTGGCCAGCGATGGCCACAGATGGGCCCCAACCGCGTCCCTGTGTCCCATAAAGGGCCGTGGTGGCCGTCACCGATGTCACAGTTGCTTCCGGAGTGTTTGTGGCCGCGGTTGTCCCCGGTGTCACCTCCGCTGGCCCGTGTGGGTGCCGGGACAGTGAGGGGGGATGTCCCCACCCTGGGGGACACCAAGGAGGGACATCTTTGTCCTGGGACACCCATGGGGGTGTCACCTCCCTGGGGACACAACAGGGGGTGTCACCACCCCCTGGGGACACTGAGGGGGGATGTCCCCACCCTGAGGGACACCAAGGAGGGACGTCTTTGTACCAGGACACCCATGGGGGTGTCACCACCCTAGGGACGCAAGAGGGGCTGTCACCACCCCTTGGGGACACTGAGGGGGGATGTCCCCACCCTGGGGGACACCAAGGAGGGATGCGTCATCCTGGGGACACCCATGGGGGTGTCACCACCCTGGGGACACCAAGGAGCCATGTCCCCACCCTGGGGACACTCACAAGGGTGTCACCACCTGGGGATTGCTGATGGGGAAC